GAAAGCTGAGGCCATGTGATCTTAAAAGCTGACCAAGTGGGAACATGTAAATGCTGAAGAGATAACAGAATCAGCATTGTTAAAAACAATGGTTTAGAGTGGTGTAGTGCAGTGGTTCTCAAACTGTGGTACGCGGAGCGCCGCCAGCTGGTACGCCATATGACCCTGTAACTTTGTTTTGTGTGCTGAAAAATCGGGATGGATTTTCATGTTCTCTATTTTAAGACGTGTCAAATACGCAGCCCACGCACTGCAATACAGCGCACGCTAATACTTGAGTGGACACAGAGCTGCAATGTAGTCCTATACCACTATTGCGTGCTAGGAATGCGTGCTACGAACGTAAATGACCAGTTGTATTTAAAAAAATGTATCTCCAGCAAATAGAGAGGTAGGAGAATGTGTGTGATTTTGGAACAATGCTAATGTTGTAAACACAGGAATGCATAGAAATGCATGCTAGGAACGCTGGTAATCTTGTGAGCACGGGAAAGCGTGATAGATAACAGAAAAATATTTAAGAACTGTTCTAGGTTATTTTAAGAAAAATACACAGAGCGTCTCTGTGTTTCGCCCCCATGCGCATTAAATAAAAACTTCTTTTAACTTCTGACACAGACTCCTAAAGCAGGTAAGCCCCACACTATTTTTGAAGAACCTTATTTACCGTTGGCAAAAGAGCTGACACGTATTATGTGTGGAGAAAAGGCTGCTAAACAGCTCGACCTGCTGCCCCCTCTGAAAGACACAGTCACTCATAGAATTACTGAAATGGTGGATGATATCAAAAGTACGCTGGTAGAGCACGTTAAGATGAGCAGATGCTTTTCACTGCAATTAGATGAGTCTGTTGTCGATTTGGCCAATTCGCTTGTTTACATTCGATACGAGTTTGAGGGTACGTCCCATTAGGACTTTCTGTTCTTTAAACCGCTACCAACAGAAACTACAGGAAAGTACATATTTCAGCTTCTGAATGAGTTTATCGAAGAGAATGGCATCTACTGGATAAAATGCATCAGAGTTTGTACAGACGGTGCTAGAGCGATGACAAGCTGACACAACGGTGTAGTTGCATGAATTAGAGAGGTTGTTCCAGAAATGAATGGACGCATTACAACATCCACCACGAGACCTTTGCTGTCAAGAAAATGCTTGACAGTTTAAAATCTGTTAGACTCTGTTGTGAATTGTAACGAGGCTCGAAAAACGAATTCATGTCTGCTTTGCTCGACTAAACAGGCTCACCCCTCTCACTGAAATGGTGCTTTTTTATTGTTTATTTGTATTTGTTGTTGTTCCTGTTTTTTTTCTGTAAAGCGCTTTGAGAAGCCACCTTTAAAGGCGCTATATCAAATAAAGTTTAGGATTATAATTATAATTTATTATATGTGTATGTGCGCACATGCGCGCTCATGTTGGTCATTGAGAATTTCTTGGGTTCCTATGACTTGTAGGTGGTACTTGGTCCAAAAAGTTTGAGAACCACTGGCGTAGTGCAATGAGCAGACACAGACATCAAGTACGTAAAAGTCTTTCTGAATAAGAAGGTTTAGAGACTGGATGTGAAAGCACTTGGGGAAGGTGACTCCCTGGTATCCTTGGGGATAGAGTTCCAGAGCTCTGGATCAGAACAGGAGAAGGCCCTGTCACCCATAGATCGTAAGCAAGTTTGGTGGACAAACGAGACCAGAGTCAGATTCAAGGCTTCGCAGTCGATATTAGGACGATAGTAAGTCAGATACAGTAGGTAATGAGGTACCAAGCCATCCAGAGCCTTATAAGTGAGCATGAGGATTTTGAAAGGAAGCCACTGCAAGGACTCCAGGACAGGGGTAATGTGATCACTTGGACATGACCTGGTCAGGATTCTGGCTGCTGAGCTCTGGACGTACTGAAGTTTGTTTAGTGTGGATTGAGATACCCCACTAAACCCATATAGCAGGGGTAGTGCAGTAGAAGTAGAAGTACACTCATTCTAGAGAAGATGAATGTGTTGACCAGCATTTCTGCTACAGTCAAAAACAGCATAGAACATAGCCTGGCGATATTGCCGAGATGGAAGAATGATGTTTTTATGGTATTTTTACAGTATATTGCAGTATACAATATACGTCTTCACTGGCATTTCTGAATTATAATGGATTTTATAGGACTCCAACTACACTATCTTATTAAATATTTTAAATGTAATTTGTAGTGTTAGTACATACTGTAGTAAATCATTTGGGCTTTAAAATTCTTTTGGGCACTAGTGTGGAGCAGTGGTAAGGGTTCTGGACTTTAATCTCAAGTGAGACACTACTGTTGTACACTTTAGCTCAGACGACGAGGGCGACCAGCTCCTGACTGGAAGGTCCTGGGTTCAGTTCCAGGCAGGGGACAGCGATGTACAGTAGCATGCTCTTATTCCTTCCAGATGGCTCCCAGGTCCACTCAGCCTGCTTTCCAAATGAGTACCAGTACTGGGGGTTAATCCTTCTGGGGGTAATAGGCCAGCTGGAGTGTGATGCTGACCACGTCACTTCCACCTCCAGTGTCAGATGGTCAAGAAAAATGGTGGCCCTTGCCCCCCCATTCCCCCCAGGGGCCTTTATGGCCTGAAAAGGGACCTGCCTACTGTACCTAGCTCAAGGTAATCCATCTTTTTAAACTACTTTTGAATAACAAAGCTCTGATATTTTTATAAGATCTGTAACATGTATTTACAGAAACATCTATACCCTGGTATTGAAAGGTTAAGAAAAACACCCCTGCCAAAAGAAATCTATCTCTTGGATTCTGATCTGCCTCTGATCCTATTTTTCCCCATAAGCCATGTTATTTTTATGTGTGATTTCGCATACCGCAAGGTTTTACAGGAACGCATCTATCGCATTATAGAAGAGACACCTGTATCAGTTTAATGTTTTTTGTACTCTCTTCTGAGAGTATGGATGTCATGTGTCATGTTATGCGTTATTCGTTGTGTGGGGACAATGCTTGAACTCGAGGCAAACAGTGTTCTGTCAGAGAACCTCTGTATCTCTCCATTTTCCTCACTTCCATCTGAACCGTGGCCAAACTAGAGTTCACTGAGATCTTCAATTGTGGTACCCCAGGCTCAGAGATCCATTTGACAGATACAACTGCCCTCAAAACCACTCAAAACCTAGCCACATGCCAAACCAAAGCTTTACCAAATTTAATAATTATCCTGATAAAACTTCTAGCACAGTTTAAATACATTAAATTCATAATTAATAAAAAATGCTACATTAAATTTAGGACTTTACCTTGAAAAAAAGTTAAGTTCACCACCTGAAATTTTATCACCAGCAAGCTTCTTAGACACATTCTTGTCACCTTGTCCACCGATATTTACGGCAATGCAGAAGATTTAGTGAAAACCGGACAAAAATTGAGGAGCAGCTCCCAATTAGCACTTCCAAAACAAAGTACCTGGGACAACTGAGCATCATGTGTATTCCTCCGCGGACTGCAGCGTTCAGTTGTGTTACTCCACGACGCAAAACGTAAACAGGTCGGGGATGAAACGTGAGTTTCGCGTTATACAGACATCTTTCCCCTATTTACCAATCGCCTATGAGCCAATTTGCATTTTGGAAACATGCCTAATGGCGGAGACCCCTGTACTCAGCTGGGGCATCCTGTCAGGATGGACCTGCCTGGATCAGTGCCCCTAGTGTGAGCTGCCCTCCACAGAATCACAAGGAACTGCTCAAAAGGAACTATTCTTGCGTATTTCCCCCACAATCAGGGATCAAATAAGATCTACTGTGTTACTGGAGTAACATCAGTAGGCTTCCAGGATGACAAACTATTCTGAGGGATACTGGAGCATAGGTCTATGTTAAAAATGTATGCCTATACATGCACAAGTTTGCACTCTCTTCATGATGAGTGTTCCCTCCCCTAATGACAACCGTTTACATTACTTTTAGCTGGAAAATTCTAATTTAAAGCTTCTTTCATAATTTCAACATGTATTTCACAAGAAGTTGGAGTAACTGTCCTCAATGGATTTGTGTCTGATTTTTGTACTAGAAGCTGAAAACCAGCCTGCTGTTCTAAATGTGTCATCTGAGGGCTTTTCCGCTGTTCCACTCTCAAGCAGTTCTTCAGCACTAGAGATATGGGAGGTAAGTGTTACTGATGTGTTGGGATGGCAAGGTACTGTAGAACTCACCATCTTTTTTTGTCAAGCAGTTTGTGTTTGTGAACATGACATTAGTATCAAAGATAAACAATTTTCATTTTATTCTGTGGTAATTCACATTTGAACATATTAGAAAAAAAGCATATTTAAAACATGATAAATGTTAGAAATGAGAGGACGTCCATGCCTTTGAGGATTTTGAACACTTGGATCAGAGTGGGTAGTCATCTCTGTGTGAAACCTAAAAGGCTCAGCTCTTTTAGTCTGTCTGCGTAGAGAATTCCTTTAAGCTACAGAATGTATCAGGGTGCTTTTCTTTTAGTAATATCTTTGGTGACCAAAATGCTCATTATAAAATGTTTATGTAACATATATACTCTATATGTTCTACTGTATATCTACTGTATATTTTAACATTTAGCTAGAAGTAAGTTTTCATAAAACCTCTTCTCAGCTCAGCTTTTCCCATTTTGTATTTATCTTGTTTTTGCTACCTACATGGAACACCCTGTACTTGTCTACTTTAAGTTTAATCTTCTAAGTGTTTAGCTTTAGAGTTTATATCTAAATTATTTTAAATTTCATTTGCAGTTTAAGTCTTTGATAATCCTTCTACATTGGTGTAATCTGCAAATTTGACTAGTTTTTTTATATTTGTATATACATATATATGTATAGTTCTCAATATTGGAATGTATATAATTGATCTGATTTAGGAAGAGCAGTGGTCCCACTATTGATCCCTGTGGTACCCCACTCACACTAATTCAGTCATTTTATTTTCTGTCCATTGACTAGTGCTTAATTCAAGCACACAGTTCAGCCCAGTTATTTCAAGTGATAAGCCACTGGGAAATTTACTTTAAATTTCACAATATTAAAGTCAGTATTCTTATTCCTCCATTTACATTCTATAATAGTTTTACTAATTTTTGCTGCAGTGATGCACGTAAATGTATACCTATTTTCCAATATTCAGACATTTTAGTTTTAGTATTAGAGCACATGGGAAGCTGGTTCAAGGAGAAGAGACTGCATCTGTAACTCAGTGAAAAGTTTGAAAGTGGTGAAACTTTCATAGAAAGTCCCCTGTTGATCAACTCTGAGGACATGATGATGAATAGTTAATTGCCATCATGAATTTACATATATTCTGTCTGCTGAACTAAATATCAGAGCCCTTGCTACAAAATGATTTGTATTTTCTTCTCATAAGTTTGCAAATTTGTTATAAATTACTTATAATTTATTTTGATGCTCAGTATGTACAGTATGAATCATATCATATATGAACCACAAGGATGAATTTGTAAAATGACAATAAAGTGTGCACAAGATGAAAGTGAATTGCAAGTGTTGCGATAGAAAGAAATAATTAGTAAGAATTTAAGCACAGTGTGAATTCAGAGCAGAATTGGAAATAGTTTGCTGTTATTAGAGCACATGGGGGTTATAATTACAAAACAAATATTTTGATAGAGATAAATAATTAGCACCTCTATAGTCAGGTAATATTGAGTTACTGTACATACAACATGCAATTTCTAGTTTTGTCCAATACAACGTAGTAATGAAATAATATGTGGCAAACTTGAACAGCACAGATATTTATTTACAGTAAGAGACACGATTTTACCAGTTTCAGATTTTTACAGATCTGCACTTCAGAGTCTTGACTTCCATAGCCACAGAAAACACAGACTTCATCCCAGGACCTGAGAGACAAACTCAATAAAGGGATCCCATTCGTGACTGGATACTCACTAGAATGTATGCTAAACAAATCGGAGCATATTTTCATATTCACAGTAATGCATCCCTCAACAGTGATTCATTTTATCCTAAAGGATATCGTAAGATATTGGTATTTCCACAAAAGCAAGAAAATACATTCCTCTCTTAAAGCAGGGTCTCGTCCTCTTAGTGCTCCGATTACCCGGGCAGATTCTAACTTCTTGATTTGTTGAAGGAGATTTCTCTCTTCCCGTTTCGTTTTTCCTCTATCTCCCCATTGATCTTCTTTCTCTGTATCTGTTCTAAGAGGGCGCATGTAGTCAGCAATTGAACAGCAGTTGAAGTAGATTGTGTTGAAGATAAAAACAGCTGTTTGGCCAGGTTGATCTTTGGCCATTGTGATGGCCACAAGAGAGACAATCAAAAAAGAGTAGTTTACAGAAATACCCTCCAAGGCTGCCCATTGTTTTACTTTTTTAGAATTTTTTAGAAGTAACAGCTTTATTCCATGCTGAAAAGAGAAGAAAGATAACACAACACTTCGGCCGTGGAGCCTTCTTCAGGTTCTTTCAGCATGGAATAAACCTATTGCTTGTTCCTTTGCAGCCTACTCATGCTGATGCAGCTCCCCACCTGAACATTTTTAGAATGGGGTGGTTTTGGAAAGTGAAGTGTCAGAATACCCCTCTCCTCTCGCAGAGTGAATAAATGCGATTGGAAACTCACTTTCCAGTTTGAGAGGTAAGAGCAGTAATGCAATGTGCTGTAAGAGTGAGTGAAGAATGTAATTGAGAAAGAGGGAGGTCAGAGGTGCTGTCTACATATCTGAATGTGGAGTAGGAGCTGGAAGGTGGTCAAAGGCAGACTTTTTTAATTCTGTGTGTAGGTCATTCATTTGTCAGCTGAAGAGCAAAGGTAAGGAATGAAGTTCTTTCTGGAAACAGATGAAAGGAAAGGGTATACTGAAAGATTTTGAAACGGACAAGTAAAGAGGGAGAGTAGTTAGAGACAACACACTGAAGATGCATACTAAATAAAAGATTCATATTCTCATTAAATGGGTGTAGTGGCTTTATAATTGTAGTGTTGGGTAGAAAGCCCCATGTGGGCTTGGCATTTAGATTATTTCAAATCACTTTCAAACTTTCAGCTTTTCCCATTTGAAGTTAGAAATAGTGCAAGTGCAATTGTGAGTCATTTTGGATGCAGCAATACAGTGTATGGCAAAAATATTAATACGCTTTCACAATTGTCATATTCTGTTGCTTGAAAGCTTGAAGTTAAGACACTTTAAAGTAGCAGTTCATTATATATACATCCTACTTAATAATCAGACTTTGCTGTGGCAAACATACACTAATGTAGGTGTATAAAATTATCAGAATTTGTTAGTGTCTTTCTTTGTGAAATAATATTGGTCCTCATGATTTCAGAATAAAAGCTCCTGTGTCTGCAAGGTCCCTCAGTCAGGTAGTGAATTTCAAGGAAATATTCAGCCATAAAGACCAAGGAGCTTCCAGAAAAACTCAGGGAGGAAGTTGTATACAGGTACAGATTAGGAATCAAAGCTTTTGAAGTCAATAAATAATAATAAAGAAGCTGAAGACTCAAGCAGGCTGCCCCTCCACACCAGTCAGCTGTGCAAGGAGGATCCTGGTTCGGTATGAGCTGCAGTTCAGTGAGTGAGAATGGTCAACGGGATTGAGGTCACTTCACAGAGGGGGCTTGTACGAAACAGACGGAAAAACATCTCGTATCTCGAAAGGGATTCGCCAGAAAGTGATACAGCATACATGTAGTAAAAGGTTTTGTAGTCAGACAAGAAACAATGTAAACTTGTTGGTCTAAATGCAAAATGTTCATTGAACACAAACCCAACACAGTGTATCACTTACTCAACATCACCTGGACTGTCAGGCATGCTGGGAGCAGTGTTATGTTCTAGTCCTGCTTATCAGCAGGGACTGGAAAGGTTGTCCAGACAACTCTTGGACAAAAACCTGCTTCAGAACTAAAACTGTTACAAAAAATCCCTGTCAGAAGAATATTAATCCCAATGACTAGACCAGAGCTACACGGGCGTGTTTTATGAATAAGAAAGTCCATGTCGTTGAGTACTCCAGCCACGATGAGAAATTGGTAACCTTGAAAGACTTATAAACCACTGTCCATACGTGATCCACTACCACTTGAAATGCTGATGTCTGTTTTGAAAACTTGTCACTGTCATCCTAAATGACACAGTGCTCAAGCTGTGCTGACAATAGAATTCCTAAATAAACAGCAAAAAGGCAGAAGTATTCAGTTCCTGATTTTCAACATTATCTACAGTATATTTTTTACTAGAGCCACAGGTAGGCATATGTGTTGTATATTACTTTAAAAAATGAGCTTTGTATAAAACATCTCCACATTATTTACGAAAACACTCTGGAGTAGCACTAGTCGCTGTAGTACACCCTCCTGAGGATCCTATTAAATCCTCAGAAGATACTCAGTACGCACATTTTTGTAGATTGCCCCCAAAATTTGAAACAAAAAAAGTTGTCTCCAAAAAAAAAACATTTCTAATGATAAAATGTTCAGTCTGTGTAAATAGGGCTGTCTGCAATACTGCACTCTGCAGAGATAATCTTTCATTTGTCAATCCTGCTCTCATGAGTAAGAGTCAGTCTATATACATTATATGGAAAACAGTTTCTCTCTTTCGTGATGTTCATTACAGCTTTGATTAAGGATCTCTGTTGCATTTTTTCTACATGAAAGAAACCTGAAGTATCAGGGAGACTTTCAGAAAAAGGATGACAAAATACAGTACATGCCATTAATTTACTTACTGACAGAAAGAGCAATTATAGGAGCAATTCAGCAAAGTGATCCCCCAGCTTCCACGTTTTCTGCTCCAGTCATATTTCAGATGTAGGAATGTGGATCAAAGAACACAGTTTAAAGTGTGACACAATGGTGATGAAAGATTATGTAAAGCAACTCAACAGTCTTCATTCCTCCTTTCAAAAATTGTATGACACATTTGCTTGACTGTGCATTAGCTTTGAGCAGTACTTTGACAAACAGCTTAAAGATGTCACAGTACTGCATGCAGCAGACTAGGTTACTGAGAAAGGTGCTTTCTTCAAACCAACATCTTGTAGCAGCTACCAAACATATGGTTCATTTGAAAGCATGTACAACGTGGCAAACAAACTGGAAGAGCATGTCTCAATAGCATGTTACTGGTCATTTCTGAGCACTTGGCTGCAAGCTCTATTCAGTCTCTTTCAGTGTTTTTTCCTCTGGAAATGGTTGAACAGATTAAGAGTCATACCACAACACAAGTGGTATGTGTAAAAAAGAGTTAAGGGTACCGAGTGTCACAAAAGT